TAAGGGTCTGTCGATTTTGTTTATTTTTTCAAAGAACCAACTTTTAGTTTTGTCAATTTTTTCAATTGTTTCTTTTGTTTCGATTTCATTAATTTCAGCTCTGATTTTAATTATTTCTTGCCTTCTACTTCTTTTGCTGTTGTTTTGCTCTTCTTTTTCTAGGATTTTGAGATGAAGTATGAGATCATTTATTTGTTGGTTTTTTCTTTTTTTAAGGAATGAACTCCAAGAAATGAATTTTCCTCTTAGTACTGCTTTCAATGTGTCCCATAGATTCCGATATGTTGTGTCTGTGTTTTCATTAATCTCTAAGAATTTTTTAATTTCCTCCTTGATGTCTTCTATAACCCATTGATCATTCAGTAACCTATTATTCATTCTCCAAGTGATGTATTCTTTTTCCTTCCTTCTTTTATCGTTGATTTTCAGTTCCATTCCATTATGATCAGATAGGATGCATGGCATTATCTCTACTCCTTTATATTGTCTAAGAGTTTCCCTGTGACATAAACGGAGAGAAACTTTGACCCTGACTGAATCCACCAATTTTATCTTTCATCTGAGCTGCTGGATCATGATGGGAAAATCCTACTTTGTTACCTTTCAGTGCCAGAATAGACACTTGCATAAACTGAATATTAATTATTGCCTAAACCTTCTCCTTGAACCTCCAACAGTCCCTCTCTAAGCTGAGTACTTTGTGTTAGAGAGCTTTTCACCAGGGAGGGAAAAATACCAGTTTTTACATGTTTCATCTTTGAGCCACACATCCCACAAACTTGTCTTCTCCCTCCTCCATTTTCCTTGTAACAGTGGAAGGCTAGCTCTAGCTTCTGTCCGTGGCTCATATCACTATCTTGGTCAGGATTCCACCCTTCCTGCCTTCTTAGGGATCTTATTTTCCTTTTTTGTTCGCTTCCACTGGCTATTAGTTCCTATCAGCATGTTCTAAACTATTCTGACAAAGAAAAAAATCTGTTTACCTTAATCTTTCCATTTACCTTTACTTTCTTCTGCCCTATGTAGCCTTCCTTAAATAAGTTGCCTCCATACACATTGCCTCTTTTCTCATACTTATTCCATAGTCATCTTAAATCTGCCTCCTCACCAACATTCTAGCTGTATTCTGCCTACTTTCGGGTTGTTTTTCTCCTTTGGTTTATACCACTAGCTGCTGGAATAGCTTTTCTTGCCAATCCAGCTTCATCTCTCGACATTCTTTCCCTTCTACTTTATGTTCTAGACATTAGATTTTTTTTTCTCGTTTCTAAAATGCATTCTGCTTTCTTTTAACCCCCAAGATTTCATGCTTGTTGTTTCTCTAGTCTAGAACTTTCTCCGTTATCACTTTATAGTCAAATTATCCTTTGTGTAATGTAAATGTCAATTTAGAGGTCCTTTTCTTTAGTTGCTCTCTAAAGTAGGTTAGATTTCCTTATGATATCCTTTTATCATAGTAACCAACATTAAATTTTTTTCATATTTGAATGTTTTTCTTTTCTATAAATTGACCATTATATCACCACAGTTAAAAGAATGAAAGTCACACATTTTCCAAAAAACAGTTTAATTTTTTTGCTCACTTTTTTTCAAAACACATCTTCATTCCTTCATTTGCAACATTTCTTGAAATTATTAAGCTGATGAAATTTTAAGTTGAATTAAAATGACCCTGAAGTCTACCATGTTTAGAATAATACCTTGCACAAAAACTAAATAGCCTTTGACATTTTTGTCCATGACACTGTAGGGTACTGGAGGACAGAGACTTTTTCTTTTCTTTTTCTTTTTTTTTTTTTTAAGCAGTCTTTAGAGTTTTGAACAAAATAAACTTAAATGAGTCACAAAATGGATTAGTTTTTGGAAATTATTTAAAATAAGGTGCTTCTTACATTTTAAGAATGCTCTAATCTCAGACATTAGATAGCTGTATGATTAAGCAAACTTCTCATTATTTTGACTTCTGTTTCTTCATATATAAATTCTGTTCTAATTCTATAATGTAAGTAAATCAAGCAATAAAAGGTATAAACAAACAAAATATTATTATTTTATGTTCTACTTTTTCAAAAATATGTCCTTTTGAACTGTGAATTTTTGACAAGTGCATACTTTAAAAGATAGTGTATTCTTAATTCATTTTTGAGTTCTATGAATTAAGTCAGTTTTATTCACTTATGCAATAGAAAGTTTTCCCTCTTTAGTTTTTGTGATTCAGTAGAATCACATTAGTATTCCAAGTTATTTTAATTTTTCCTTTTCACTGTAGGTCAAAAAATGTGAAATATCTGATTGAGAAAGAAAATAAAATATCATCAAGTTTATCTTATTTTCCATTTTTATAAAGGTTTAATCATGAATTAAAAATCTTTGTGATAGTAGAGCACAGATAATAATTTAAACATTTTTCCTTAAATGTTTACTGATTTGATAAAAATTTGTGTATTTTTCTTATTACATTGTAATTTATCTCATGAAAACAAATTAGTTATATTTATGTCAAAATTAAGATACGTTCTTCCTTTCATATTTATTTAGTTTCTAGATTGTTGGCAGCAAAGTATTTTTAAAATGAAGATAAAGAGTCTCCTTTGAATTACTAGTAGCAGTTGGAAAGAAGAGAAACTGTTATTATCAGTCATCACTGCACTGATGACTCCTGCCATCAGTTCCCATCCTTTCACCCATAAAATCAGCATAAAATTGGCCTAACATTGCCAGATCAGATTGATTATTTAGAAAGTAATCCTCAGGGAACAGAAAATTCAGTCTTTGTGCAAAGTTGTAGAATTGAATTATTATTTTTTTTAGTCCCTTTTGTTTCTTCCTCTGCAGTACTTATGAAAAGTTGCTACAAAGATATGTCAGATGTGGTCTAAATATAACCACATAAATATTAACTAAGTTAATACATTTTAAAATATGGATGCATATGATTATAATAAAGTTTTGAGTGCTGAAGAGTAAAATTTATTTAATGAAAACAATAGGATATATTCCACTAGATAATTAAACCAGTAGGTGCTTTTTTATGTACTCACTTATTCTTTCTCTGTGAATACAGAAAAAAAGAAAAAAGATTGAGTAAGGGATTAGTGTAAAGTAAGGCAGTAAACCATACTTAACTAAATGCTGCTAACAATGAGGGCAAACTGTGAGGGCTACACCAGTTAAATGTCCTTATTTAAAGACAGAGGCATTTTTTTTAAAGTATTTATTTTTTAGGTGTAGATGGACACAACACAATGCCTTTATTTTTATGTGGTGCTTAGGATCTGACCAGTCCCACCTGTGCACCTGTGCAAGGCGAGCGCTGTACCACTGAGCCACAATCCTAGCCCCGAGAGCCATTGTTTTTTGTTGTTGTTTTGCTTTTTTTTTTTTTTTTCTTAGGAAGGAATTAACCCAAGGGCCCTTTACCACTGAATCACATCCCTAGTCCTTTTTATTTTCATTTTTAAAATTTTGAGACAGAGTCTTACTAGGTTGCTTACATCCTCCCTAAATTGCTGAGGCTAGCTTTGAACCTGCTATCCTCCAGCCTCAACCTCCCTTCTTCATGCTGGAAGGAATTATGGGCATGAGCCACTGTGCCTGGCTTAAAGACATAGGTGTAAAACACTTGCACAGACATTTTCTCAAATGTCTCTCAAAAGTTGTTTAAAAGCGATATTTTAAGCACATTGAAATCCCTTAATTTCATTATTTATGAAAAAGAACTAGCCTACATTTTGTGTGATGATTTATTTATATGGCCATTAATTTTTGTGTTAATTTATCAACAGTAATAATTTTTGTTTGATATTTCATGAAGATTCTGTCATACACCTTTGTTTTAGGAGATTTAAATCTGATCAGCTATTTTATTTGCCACTTAACATATCATCTTATATGCCAGTGAAACATATAAATGTGTGTGTATGTGTATTCCAATTGGTAATAGTTATCCTCAGGACATTAATGCCTCAGGATTTTTAAGTGATCTATAGTTCATTTAACTTCATTTCAAATATGTCTACGTTGTTTTACGGAGGGCATAATCATTTGTTGTTACTTCATAAATTTGTAATGTATATGTTTTAAATGACTTACCTGTGTTAATTTATATGGAAAGTTTTTATTGCTTTGTAAGTAAAAGGTTTAGTTATGGAAAGCTTGCTTTCTTTGCATTTTAAGTTAAAATACTTGAAAAAAATTCTATTGAAGTTACAAGCAACATTTTAGCTATTCACTTTTTAATTTGCATGTCTTAGATTTTGTGGACTTTCAAAAGTTTTTTAATTTTTTTTCCCCAGAAATAATATTAACTCATTTTACCTTTTAAAACATTTAACATATTCGGAATTTTATTTTTGACAGTTAAAAAATAAGTGTATGACCAAAGTATTTACCTAGTGATAATTAAGAATTTTATTATACCAAGTGGAAGAGAAATAGTGTAAGGAACAATGAAAATGTAAAACTGGTGTGAATATAAGTAAAAGAATACATATATATATATATATATATATATATATATATATATCATAGATATATTAGAAAAAATTTTCTGAAATAACCTGCAAATATTAATTGTATTTTAAATAAGCAGTCTTCTCCTACCTATTAACTTATCTATTATTTTAAAACTGATTTATAGAGTTTATTTTGTTTTAGTCTCTGTCAGTTGTAATATTTGATTACATATTTACCACATTTATATTTTAATTTAATATTAAAACCAATAGTTTAAAAGTATAGTTAACATTGAAAATACTCAGAATCTTAAAATATATGATATATAAATAAAATGTCAATTGCTAAAAAATGATTTTTATAACCTTACCAAGTTATTAATTTTATTTGATCCTATTTCAAAAGTCACTAAAACCTTAAAAGATTAAAATATTTAATTTGATAAATAGCACACAGTGACCCTGACCAAAAAATTATGATTGTAGTTTGTGTAATTAAATGTTTTTCTTTGGCTCTTTTTAATGATATGTATCAATTATTTGCAGATCCTGTGATATCGTGGAAATTCCCAGAGGACTTTGGAGACCAGGTTGGGACAACATAATTTAAAAACATTAGAAATGGAATATTATGATTATTATTACACTTAAATTGCCATAATTTTTTTTTCTTGATCAATGTGAGGGAAGAAGGAGCAAGTGTGGACAATAGGTAGAAGAATCTTTTTTAGTGTTACCAAGTAGATCAATGAAGACTCTCTTATGTTGAAAATAATAGGGCCTAGATATTTACAGTTTCAACGTATTTTCATACTTATACTTAATTCTATGTAGACATTATTTCTGTTACTTAGAATTAAGGATAACTGCTATAAGTAAGTGATTAGTTCTTTCCTTATCACGGTGATATCTCAAATATTTACAATTAGAGTTTGAATTATCAATATCTTCTTACTTATAGATAATTTTTACCTGTAGCTTTCTTTTCTTAAACATAGCATGAGTGTCTGCAGGATTAATTTATTCCATTTGTGTTTTAAGTTGTAGTCTTCTATAGTTTCATAAGTATTTAGTTTTATCAACATGATGAAATATTTTTATATCATATATGTAAATAGAAAAATATTTTAAAATTTGTATGTTAGATTTATCATTTTGAAGTTGAACTATATAATATATGATTAACAATACAAATTTAAGTTTTGATAGAGATAAGTACTTTTTGTTGGATATATAATGAGTAGGTTCCTTTCGTTTTGAAAGAAATGGGATAAAACAATCTTATCACTGTTAGAATTATAATACTACAAATTTATAATTTCAGTTCACTGATAGGATTCTGACAACTTACCAAACTTAAATCTGGTAACAGTATACCTTTAAAACAATTCATTCAGAAATAGACAGGTGCATGATTTTGAATGTTTTAGATGAAAGAAATCTGAAAGAAAAGTCAATTAAATGAGCATGTTAAGCATTAATTAGATCTAGTGCAGACCTTGACAGTGGTTTCAAATAGAAAGTAGGTATGTACTTTTAATATGGTTTTAGCCTTTTAGAGAAAGGATAGATTTATAAATATCTTAAATATATAAAAGAAGTCCCTGTGGTGAAAACCTTATTTGGAATTAAGAAGCTTAATTGGATATGTTCCCAAGTTGTATATGAAGAATAGAGACTTGCTGACTCATTTTATCCTTCTGAAATGTTCTTTTCCTAGTCTTCTCAATTCTTTCTTGCCAACTGACCCAGGAACAAACCTTCTGTCCCTTTTCAGGTCTTTTTTGTTATTTTTATTTTCACTGCTTAGACTACCCCTAAGGATTTTCAGGCAATCCAAAGAGTCCTATCTGGATTTGCATATGAGTGATAATGTACTTGTTGGGTCTACTCCTAGAAGAATTTTTTGTGAGTTCAGCTATAGCTTTTCTTCTTTGTGACTCTTAAAGTGATGCTTGGAATTTTTCACTTGGAGCTGAATTGTTGCTCTGTTTCTTAAATTTGTGAGGTCATCAGAATATCAATAAGTCCTCACATTCTTAGTGAAATACAAGACTAATTAACCATGTAATAGTGATGAACATCCCTAACTCCAATGATTTCAGTTCACAGAAATTCCAAGACTTTTTGAAAGTTAGAGCTGAAAGGAAGTTTAGTTACCATTTTGTTTACCTACCTCATTTTACATGCTGAAGAAGCCATGCTTTATAAGGGGCCTAGCAGAGGGCCTTGAGGAATGGTTATACTGTGTGCTTTTTGGTGAATGTACTAATAATACAGAAGATGCAGATGCTGTTTGTATTGCTTACTCTTTGATCTTCTTCTTTCCCCTACTTGCTCTATCCCACTTTTGTTCAGAAGACATACTACAAAATGTAATTTTACTGCAGAAATAAAGTGTACTAAAGTAATGGCTGGGTAGTTGGGTAAAAATGTACATTCATGTGATGTAAATGTTAGTTTATGTGTTCAGTAATCTGATAAATTTGGGAAAAACAAACTCAAATAGAATAAAATATATGCTTGTACTGTACTTAACATTTACTAAATTAGAGGATATGGCTATTTTCATTAAGCCAAAATTATAAATCTTAACACGTTTCCTAAAGATTTGTCTTAATGACGCGAATTTGATTTCTCTAAGAAGAATTATTTATCTATTTATTTATTTATTATTTTGAAGTATTCGGGATTGAACCCAGGGCTTTGCAAATGCTAGGCAGTGCTCTGCCACTGAACTACAAATCATTCTTTTAAAAATTTTATTTTGACACAGGGTCTTGCTAAATTCCCAGCCTGGCTTTGATGTTGGGATCTTCCTCTTTGAGCCTACCAAATAGCTGAAATTATAGATGTGTTCCACTGTGACTGAATAAGAACTATTTTAAAAGTCTACCTCATTTAAGATATTAGAAACTCAGTTTTCTCTAATTTTATAAGACCTTTAGAAATATTCAGTTTACATTTTTTTTTGTAAGACAGTCAGAACAGTGCTTCTTTAATTTATGAGACTTTATAATAGAAAAAAACATTTCATACTAACATGAGCAAAAGCCTTTCTGGATTATAGACATATACTATACTATCATAGATGGAAATTTTTTTGGTGATATTTTAAGGTATACTGTTTACAGTGAACAGATAATCTAGTTTTGAAAAATAAATTTATAAAATAATGTGATATTTTTTCAAGGGCTTTTTAGTGATGTTTTTGATTATTATGAGATTTTTTGCCAAAAACTGAATAAATTTTAACTTTGGCAGTTATCATGTAGCATTATCTTGCCTTAAAAACTTAAAATTATTCACCGAGTACTTTTTTTGCAAGGAGCAAAAAAGTAAAGAAGAAGGCATTCTAGAAGGCTGTTAGGGAAAGGAAGATTTGGAGAAAAGGAAGATTTGGCCTGGGCATCTGAAGTGAACTATTTTTGGCTTTGCTTCTACCAGGAGTGCATTGTTGAGAATGCTGGTAGTAAGAAAGGGAGCATGGGAGGTGATTTGTAAGCTTTATTTGACCACTGAGTTTTTTTTTTTTTTCTGTAAGTTGTTTTTCTTCAGATGAGAGTAAAGGACAATCCCATGCATAGTTAGGGTAACTGAATGTGATAATCTGTTGTATTAGAAAGAATGATAAAATTATTTCATTATTCAAAGCTGAGGCAGAGTGATAGAGATATTAGAATGTTATTCCTTACATTTAATTGAAGGGTTACATTAATCTTTCAGTCCTAACCTTGTCAGTTATATTATTTTTACCATTAGGAAACGTCCTCTGCTATGAATAACATAATACTTATTTCATGGGATCCACAATAGGAATCAAGGTCTGTAAGAAGCAGTGAAGTAGGCCTGGCTAAATTTCCTTCACACCTAGTATACCTGTTTCTCAGTGTTTTTTTTTTTTTGTGTGTGTGTGTGTTTGTGTGATATTTCTATTTTTACTCCCCTTTTCCATTCTGTTCCTTCTTATGTTTTGTCCAGTTCTTTTTATTCTGAAGATTAAGTTTGAAAATTAGTTCTTTGAAGACTTACATGAACATTTATAACTAATAGTCTACACTTCCGTAGCCTCTATTATATTCCTCTATATTCTACAGCTTTATTTTTCTTTATTCCTTCCTTCCTACTTGGGCTGTATGTTTCTTGAAGGAAAGGGAGAACATTTTCATTATCAATTTCCACAGTTAGCAGAGTAGATGGCACATGATGGTATCTGAATAAACATTATTTGAGTGTCTCCTTGAGTGAGTAACAGGTCAAAGGAAGTTGAATAAATTCATGATATCTTATCATAATCATCTTAGAAAAACAGGAGGCAGGTAATCTACTGAAAGGGATGTAAGTACAGTTTCATTAAAATTTGAGTGAAAAGATGTGATGTGGCACAGGGTTTAGGCAGTTTGAAATTTAGTGAGTGGGTCCATGATGGTTGCTCATGATGGGTACTTGATCCATGTGTTCCTCCTCCCTCCTCTCATCTCTATGGAAGGCTTAAAAACAATTTAAATTTCAGGCTGGTGTATGCTCCCATGATAGGTGATCGAAGTGCATTTAGAAATATTTTCAGAAAAATGCATGTATCACATGATTATTTTTATAATAATAATAATTCTGTTCATTAAGTAACTTTGGGCAGAAATGATCTGGAAACAGTTTGTATTACAATTATAACGAATACCAAAAATAGCTACGTATTGTACAATAGTAGCAGAGCATTGAAAAATTTATCCTTCAGGTATATCTTTATAGTTCTTTTTATCTATAGGCAGCATACTAATCAGCTGATACTAAAATGAATGTATTCTACATTGTATACAATTTTCTTTTTATGTGCCACAATGCCTAATGATTTTTCTGCATGGTTTAGGAAAAATGCCTGTTTTTAAATAAAAATTTATATCTATATTAAAATATATTTTTTTGATTTTTTTAAGAGATTTTGTCAAAACAAATTTAAAGTTGAGGAACATTGATATCTGGGAATTTTATAAGTTTGTTTCTTATATCAGTCATAAAGTAGATCATAAAGTAGAAACAATCTATTAAATCCTAATAATCTCAAAATAAATAATTTCAACAGTTGTGAATTTAAGTCAAAACTTTTTACTCATTTGCTCTTTTGTCATTTTCAACTACCATTTGATTATACCAAACAAAAGATAATTTAATCGCTTCTAAATCAACTATTGTTTTTCTAAGTGGAAAAAATGGAATGACTTAAACTGGTTTTTAATGTGAGAGAATAAATTTTTATTTCATTACTTACTGAATATATATACATATTATATACGAACACACTTCTGAGACAAATGATTTCTTCATTTTTATCAAAATAAAATTTCATAAAGGAGATAATGGGTAATTGTAAGGGAATTATATCATAACTTGTTGCTTTCTTTCATAGTCCAAAAATTTTGTAAGTGATCTGTTTTAATCACCTTAAAATATCAATTTCTTCTCATCAGTTTACTTTGTAGTAGATACACTTATTGTATTTTTGGTACATTGCTATGTCTAAAAGAAGAAAATCTAAAAGAAACACTATAAGGTGGCAAGCCTGTGGGAAAATACATAAAAAATAAATCAAAGA